ATAAATGTTAATAAATAAACATGACAATTGTCTAATATTAAATACTTTTAATAAGTATATTAATATAAATAAGTGAACTTGAATACAATATAGACAAAGTGAAACGGAAAATGTTAAGATTCTCCTGCTGAAAAATTGAGACATCGCGCGTACATAGCTCGTAACGTGAAATTTTGCGAGGGAAGTTGAATGCCTTTACACGTAGAGTGGCGGCCATATAACGGAGGACAACCTTTGCCAAGAGTAAGTTGATCCAAGTCTCCGTTCTATCAAGTTTGTTAACTCTGTCGCTTGATCAAACGATCCTTATTCCATTTGTCTTCGACGCTTTTCGTACGTGCACCAAACATAATATAATACTTAATTAACTTGAAAAACATTTTTTAAAACATCAAGTAATAAATATACAAAATACGAAATGTGATCATTATTTGATTTAAAAAACATATGTATATCTTTACAACCAATTGTAGCTTGTAAGAAAATTTCTTTAAGCCATGACAGATTTTTTATCTACGTTTACTAGTAGGGCAGAAATTACATTTTTATCTAACGAGCATGAAAGAACAATTAAAGGCTCCAGGGTTGCTTGCAGATTGAAAGAAAGAAATTTAAAGATAATGCAACACCTAATTAGGTTGAATAATTATTTACTTATATTTTCGACAATATTATCATCAAGTAATTATACAAGTTGGAATCATTATTTAATTCAAAGAATTATACTTATAATTATTGACTGTTTATTATACAGAACCAATTTTAGTTAGCAAGAAAAGTTCGTGAAGCTATGATAGAGCCTTTATCCACGTTACTAGTGGATATCAGAAATTACAGTTTTATCAAGCATGAAAGAACAATTAAAAGCTCCAGGGTTGTTTCCGGATTAAAGGGAAGCAATTTAAAGTTGAAACGCCATATCCACGGTTCTAATAGCCGAGCAGCTCACGGTTCTCCATTGAGAGTTCTTATGTTCAGTGGGGGAAAAGAGAAATTTTTATGTGTCTCAAAGCTGCTGGTATAAGGCTGCTGCTAACGACCGGTCGCTCTTTTTTTTTTTAAAAAAAACTTCTTAAGAATTTTACGATTTCCTCCAGGGCAGATTCACGCTGAACTTCTTACTCACGCGTACCGTCACATTGTTTCCAACCTCTTTTGGTTCCCTCTAGACAAGTTAGGATTCGTTAACTCTCAATGCAATTTTCTATTTGCAGTTGTCTCTGAAATATGTAAACCTTTGTTCCAATTTCGTCGTAAAATGTCTCGCCGTTTCAAATTGTAGACTACAAGAATTTAAAACGAGGCAAAAGATTTTTACTTTTTAATTCCTTAACTCATCTGACAGTATTTTAGTTAATTATTCTATCATTAGTCATCTCTTATTATTTATGCCACGAGAAAAAGGGAGCAAGATTGAATGTAAATTATATGTAATATTATGTAATACAGCTTTGTTCCACTCTTCTCACAAAATGCCTTGCTGTTCAAAATTATTAGGTTCAAAGGTTTTAAAACTACTCAAAGGATTTTTACTTTTTTTAGTTCTTTAACTCATCTGACAGTATTTTAATTAATTATTCAATCATTAGTCATCGTATTACCTCTGTTATTCACAAGATATTTATGCCATGAGAAACAAGAAACAAATGTTTATCGAAAAGATTGAATATATAGTAAATTATGTATAATATTGTATAATAAAACTTTCTTTCAGTTTTTATCACAAAGTGTATTGTACCAAATTGTCAGACTACAAAAATTTAAAACGAGTGAAAGATTTTTACTTTTCAATTGAACAAATCAATTAACTCATTTAACAGTATTTTATTTAATTATTCCATGATTAGTCATCTTGTTATCTCTGGTATTTACAAGTTATCTAGAGCATGAAAAACAGGAAGTAAATATTTGTCGATAAGATTAAGTGCCACGTATTTCTCACGCAACTATTTCTCAATCGAGCTTCCCGCTGACTGTTCAAACATTCCGCACCCAGATTGAAGCACGCAATCAGTGGTAGGTAGAAATCAACAATCCCGTTCGTTTCTCTTCGATTAATTCGTGACACCGATCACGGAATAATTTCACGCTGTAACCGCCAACCAAGGCGTGTTACGAAAGACAATAAACAATTAAATTAAGAAAAGGAAGAAATGCATTCGACCGAGAACGAATGCAAATATTTCCCTGGAAAATCCACAACGTAATTGATGCAAATCTGTAGACGAGGGTAGATGAAAGCTTCGCTTGTATCTCGTTATATTCTGATCGTTAAACGTGTACACACGGAAAGTTCGCTTGGCCGCTGTTAATCACGTTTGTTTCGACTTTTCAATGAAAACTTCATTTACTCCCGTTGGACCGTGTTGATTTTTGTTGAGCGAACTGGTATTAATTGTGCAGTTTGTTGCAGCCAGTGTTTAATTCTCGCCGTTACACCGTACATACATACATATGTATACTGTCGCATTTCAATTTTGCTACTTTATCCATTATAATCTGTCATTTCAATAATTGCATTTTGCACAGTATAAAATGACTTGATTAATTAAATTTAATTTTACTTATTATCATATTATAATTTAATCACTTATTGCTTAGTGTAAAAAATCAATAGATCCTCTTGTCATATGCAATTAAACATTCGTCGCATGAAATATTTATTTCTTATACATATTAAATGACCAGATAAATATAATTAAATCGTAACGAAGTATTTTCTTCGTAATTTATTTAAAGAACTTTGGCAAACGAACAATATATTCACTAAATGAATGTGACCATTTTATTATCACGTAATTAAATATGGATCAAGAACAGAGGAAACCTGGTTTTCACCTGAAACAAAGGCGACCGGGGCTCGTAACGTGTGTGTACATTAACAGCAAAAATGTTAAGCAGAACAGAGCAGGACGGGCCAGTTGGAACTGCACGTGTACGGATTCATCGTTTTCGTTTGGGGGACATTTCGCTTTCTTCGGCTATATCGATTCGCTAAGCGGCTCGTAAGGAAG